TTTGCACGTTTTTTGTTATGGAGACGGCTTCTTTCTTTCAGCCTCATGAACTAAACCCCTGCTAGCTTCCAACTTTTCTTCTGCAGCTTCCTCACCTCTCTCAGCCTTCACAGAACTGAAGAGAGTTGGGAGCTTGCTCTGGATTAGGCTGTGGCTTAAGGGAATGTTGTGCTGGTTTGATCTTCTGTCCAGATCACTCATACTTTCTTCATATCAGCAATAAGGCTGTTTCATTTTCTTACCATTTGTGTGCTCACTGGAGTAGCACTTTTAATTCTGTTCACGAATTTTTTCTTTGCATTTATAACTTGGCTATTTGGTGCAAGATGCCTAATTTTTGGTCAGTCTTAGCATTTGACATGCCTTCCTCCCTAAGCCTAATCATTTCTAGCTTTTGATTAAAGTGAGATATGTGCAACTCTTTCCTTTACTAGAACACTTAGAGGCCATTGTAAGGTTCTTAACTGGCCTGATTTCAATATTTTTGTGTCTCAGGGAATAGAGAGGACTGAAGAGGAGGGAGGTGGGGAAACGACTGGTTGGTGGAACAGTCAGAACACACAACATTTCTCCATGAAGTTCACTGTCTTATATGGGCACGGTTTGTGGCACCTTAAAACAATTACAGTAGTAACATCAAAGATCACTGATCACAGATCACCATCACAGACGGAATAATGATGAAAATGTTTTAAATATTGTGAGAATTATGAAAATGTGCCAGGGTCATGAAGTGAGCACCCGTTGTTGGAAAAATCGAGCTGTCAGTCTTGTTCACTGCAAGGTTGTCACAAGTCTTCAATCTGTAAAAAACAAATAAAAAAACCCCCCAGTATGTGCAAAGTACAATACAGTAAAGTACAATAAAATGAGGTGTGCCTGCACAGGGTTCTGAAGGAGCTTCAGCTTCAGGCATCCACTGGGGTCTTGCAGTAAGTCCCCATGAATAAGGGGGGATGCTGGACACAGAGCGGCGCCGTGGAGCCGTGCAGCACTGGGAGAAGATAAGGTGGGTGTTGAGTTTGAATTCTCACTCAGTCACTTCCTGGCTTTTGCATGCTGGACTTTGCAAGTCACTGGATCTGTCTTGACCTGTAAATTGGAGACAGCACCATTTTCCTTGATGAGTCTCCGGGGTGGCAGAGAGATGCCGCCAGCGCTGCCCTGGCACACGCCCCCATCCCCCGCTGGTGATGCCCAGCACACATTCTTCACTCCAGGGACTGCGTTCATCCTCAGTGGGTTTTCTCTTCTAAAATTGTCTAGTCTTTGAATTATTTTATTTTTTAAATTTTAAACTATTTTAATTTTATTTTAGTGATGACATTTTACCAGTTTGAGTGAACCGCAGGAATCTTACATTTCTGTAAGTTCATTATCACCCCCTGCCTTTTTAAAATCATTTTGAAATTTCCTACACATACGTTGGGAATCACAACATGATTATTTTTGCTCCAATTACCAAACGAAATTTAGAAAACTCAGGAGGAGGCTGGGGGCAGTGGCTCATGCCTATAATCCCAGCACTTTGGGAGGCCGAGGTTGGCAGACCAGTTGAGGTCAGGAGTTTGAGACCAGCCAGGCCACCATGGCGAAACCCCATCTCCACTAAAAATACAAAAATTAGCCGGGCATGGTGATGGGCACCTGTAATCCCAGCTACTCGGGAGGCTGGGGCAGGAAAATCACTTGAACCTGGGAGGCAGAGGTTGCAGTGAGCCAAGATCATACCATTGCACTCCAGCCTGGGCAACAAGAGCAAAACTCCATCTCAAACAACAACAACAACATCAACAACAACAAAACAACAAACAACAAACAAAAAACACCTCCAAACCCTCAGGAGGAGGAGGAAGGTCTGTTGTCTCCACCAGCATTTCCCTTGTTGCTGTCGCGTTCCTTCCTTCCTGGTCTTTAAAGATTCCTTTTTCCATCATTTCCCTTCTGTTTAGAGAACTTCCTCTCTCCATTGTTTTAAGGCAGGTCTGAGTGTGATAAACTTTCTCCATTTTTCTTCATCTGAGAATGTCATGATTTTCCCTTAAGTCTTAAGGAACTCTTTGATGCATGTAGTACTCTGGGCTGATGGTTCTTTTCTTTCAGCCCTTGAAGAATTTGTGCCCTATTGGGACTGGTGTTGGGTTTCTGATAAGAAATTTGCTGTCTTTTCTATTTTTTTTTTTCCCCCGTATGAGTGATGCCTCCTTTCTCTCTGGCTGCTTTTGGGAGCTCTTCATTGCCTGCAGCTTCTGAAGCTTGGCTGGGATACGGGTTCTGCTTTGGCTTTATCCTGTCTGTACTTTGCTTAGGTTCTTGATTCTGAAGTGTACGATTTTTGCCAAATTTGGGAAATTTTCATCCATTATTTTTTTAGATGCTTTTCGAGCCTTGTCCTCATTCTCTTCTTCTGGGATTCCAGCAACACGAAGATTACGTTGTTTTACTTCCAAGATACTGGAGGCATTTTGATCTTTTTTTTTTTTTAAACCTGTCTTCTTTCTGCTGGTCAGACTGGGTAATTTCTACTGTTCCATCCTCAAGTTCATTGGCTATTTCCTCTGTCTTCTACATGTTTCTGTTGAGCCCATCCAGCAGGTTTTTTTATTTGCATTATCATATTTTTCAGTTCTAACGTTTCCATTTGGTTCTTTGCTATATCTTCTGTTTCTTTGCTGATGCCTTCTATTTTCACATGTGTTTCCAGCAGGTTTGTAATTGTGACAATTGCTTGTTTGATAGTTCCAACATCTGTGCCACGTCAGAGTTGGTGTCTGTTGCTTGTCTTTTCTCATTTAATTGAGGTTTTCCAGATTCTTGGTATGGTGAGTGGTTTTTATTTTATTTTTGGTTCTGGGGTACGATGTGCAGTGTGTGCAGGTTTGTTACATGAGTAAATGTGTGCCATGGTGGTTTGTTGCACCTATCAACCCATTATCTAGGTATTAAGCCCAGAATGTGTTAACTATTTTTCTTGATGCTCTGCTCTCCCTCCCTCTGCCCCTACCACAGGCCCCAGTGTGTGTTGTTCCCTTCTCTGTGTCCATGTGCTCTCATTGTTCAGCTCCCACTTATAAGTGAGAACATGTGGTGTTTGGTTTTCTGTTCCTGTGTTAGTTTGCTGAAGATAATGGCTTCCAGCTTCATCCATGTTCCTGCAAAGGACATGAACCCATCCTTTTTATGGCTGCATAGTATTCCATGGTGTGTATGTACCACATTTTCTTTGTCTAGTCTATCATTGATGGGCACTTGGATTGATTCCATGTCTTTGCTATTATGATAGTGCTGCAATGAACATACACATGCGTATGTCTTTATAATAGAATCATTTACATTCCTTTGGGTATATACCCAGTAATGAGATTGCTGGCTCAAATGGTATTTCTGGTTCTGGGTCTTTGAGGAATCACCAGATGAGTGATTTTTAGTTGTATCTCAACACCTTCAGTATTACACCATGTTCTTATTTTTACTTTCTGCTTTAGCAGGTCTCCTCTGACAGCACACCATCAGGGGAGGAGGGCGTTGCCTAATTACTATCAATTAGGGGTAGAAGTCTGGGTTCCTCACCAGGTGCCCTGACATCTGGGGTGTTGGGAGGTGCCCTCTGAGTGCAGGGGGTGAGGTCAGACTCTTCCTCAGGTCTCCGCTGATCCACCCGTCAGGAGTGTGGGTGGGGCCACAACCTTTCCTCTGGTGCTTGGCTGGAGGAGGCCACTGTTGTCGAAAAGTTTTCCTTCTTGCTAAGTTGCTCCATTCCTTTGACCTAGAGAGAGAACTGGCTTGTCTTTGGACTTTTGTTGGCTCTGTGTCTGTTAGTGTTTCTGGGTGGCTGGACTTTCCAGGCCTCAGTGAGGATAAAGAAAATGCTACATGTTTCCTCAGGTCCTGCTGTCTCTAGCCTGTCTGCCTTTTCTCATTTTCACAGATTTTTCTTGAGTGTTTGATGTATAATATACAGTTCTAGCTGTTCTTAGTGAGGGGAATAGAGAGAAATGGATCTACTTCATGTTGTCTGGAACCGGAAGTTCCTTAATCTGGTTTTGTGGCTGACGTGCAAAAAATCATTTATCGCCTTCAGCTGTGCGCAGTTCACCTGCACCACCTCGGAGGCCCCGGTGCCATTCTCTGCCATGGCTCTCACCAAGGAGCTGCTCGAGCATCCTTCTGAGAGCCAGGCCAAAGCTTCTGGGCTGACAGGATGCTGGTGTTTTGGCGCTGGGTTGAAACAGGCACACAGAGGAAGCGGTGATCTTGATGGTGGCAGCTTTTCTGGATCTCATTCCAAAGGCTCTCCAGCTTCCAGGGGAAGTAATTCTCCAACGTGTGCAGCAGGAGCTGCCTGAATCCTGGCCTGTCTCTGGCGTGGGGTGGCTTCACAGCACGGACGCGGTAGGGTGGAGCCGCTGTTCTCAAGTGGCCTGGTCTCTGGGCAACTTTGCGCTCTTAATATACTTACAATAATAAATACAAAAACTGAGAAATTTAAAATATTAAATACATGCTGTGTGAATCTAACATATTTTTATTAAAAGTGGTATTTTCCAAATAAAAAACCATTTAATGAGAAGAGTGGTCTTGGTGCGTATGCCTTTGCCAATCTCTTTCATGCCTGGCTTGGCAGGAGTCAGTGGATTCTCAGATCTCTTTCTGGTGGAAGTGGATGAAGATAATTTGATTCGCTCAGATACACAGTTGGTAAGAGAAGTCTTTTAATGGTCTTTTCAGTTACATGTGGATCTTCTTCGATGACACACCAATTAGGTAGTTTCTTTAAGGTTAGTTACAACGTGGGCATCCAAAACTATAGCCATGCATCGCTTCACTGCGGGGCACTTTCTGAGAAGTGTGTTGTTAGGCAATTTTATCGCTGTGTGGACATCTGGAGCAAGGCTGTCCAACCGATGTAGGCCACATGTGGCCCAGGACAGCTTTGAATGTGGCCCAACACAAATTCGTAAACTTTCTTAAAGCAGTATGTTTTTTTTTTTTTAAGCTCATCAGCTATCATTAGTGTTGGTGTGTTTTGTGTGTGGCCCAAGACAATTCTTCCAATGTGGCCCAAGGAAGCCAAGAGATTGAACACACCTGATGTAGAGTGAACAGACACAAGCCTAGAGGGTAGCGCCTGCGGCACACCTCGGCTCTGCGGTGCAGCCTCTGACGTCTAGGCTACAAACCTGCACAGTGTGTGACTGTCCTGAACACTGTAGGCAACTCCAACACAATGGTAAGCATTTATGTATCTAAATATATCTAAACGTAGAGAAAATACAGTATAAAAGATAAAAACTGGCACATCTACCCAGGGCACTTCCCACGAATGGAGCTTGCAGACTGGAAGTTGCTCTGGGTGAGTCGGAGTGGGTGGGGAGTGGCTGCGAGGGCCTCGGACGTGACCGTGCTGTACTGGAGATTCGCAAACGCTGTACACTTTGGTGCACTACACTGATCGAAAATAGTTTTCTTCTTCCAATAATACATTCACCTTTGCTTATTATAACCTTTTTTACTTTTATAAACTTTGAATATTTTTAATTTTTTGACTCTTTTACAATAACACTCAGCTTAAAATATACATTGTACAGCTGTACAAAAATATTTTCTTTCTTTATATCTTTATATGCTTTTCTTCTATTTTTAATTTTTTTTATTTTTTACTTAAACTTTTTTTTTTTTTTTTTTTTTTTGCTAAAAACAAAAACACAAACACACACATTAGCCTTGGCCTGGTCCTGGGGTCATCAACATCACTGTCTTCCACCCCCACATCTTGTCCCACTGGAAGGTCTTCAGGGGCAGTGACACACACAGAGCCGTCATCTCTGACAATGCCTTCTTCTGGGCACCTCCCGAAGGACCTGTCTGAGGCTGTTCTGCAGTTAACTTGCACATATATAGAAGGACCACACTCCAAAATAATGATAAGAAGTATGGCATAATAAATACACCAACCTGTGTCATGATCATTTGTTACCATTATCAAATATGACTGCTATACCTAATTGTGTGTGCTAGGCTTTGTCCCATCACAGCCATCCTGGGGTCACACAATGCATCCCTCACGTGGGTGTGATAACGCTGGTGTGAACAAACCTGCTGCACGGACAGCGTGTAAGAGTCTAGCACAGACAGCTGTGTACGGTACATAGTACTTGAGAATGACCATCAATGATTATGGTCCTGGTTTATGTATTTACTACACTGGAAACAAAGATTGTGGTGAGGTTGAGGGTGTGGGTAAGAAGCCCAGAAACCTGTTAGGTAGAGGGGAGGAAAACTGGGGGAAGAAGAACAGACAGAACTATCAAGTTTGGCCTTGGATAAAGGATTAAGAAGAAAATGCAGGATCCCAGGTGCCGGGGCTAATGCGGAAGCCAGGCAGAGGCTGGGAGGGGCAGGAAGCACCTTCAACAAATGCCTGCTGACCCCTGCTCAGCCCTGCAGGCGGGTCCAGCCCCAAAGTCCAGTCTCCACTCATTCTGGACAAACGCAGGGGTGGCCTTCATCCCGGTTCCCCAGTACGGCAATGGGGAGGCCTCCTTGGGTCTTGGCGGCCCTGTTCTCTGGAGCCTGTGTCCGGCAGTCCCCTTTCTGTGCGGGGGTAGGGTGGAGGCGCCCAGCTGCGACGTGGGCACGGAGGCCAGGTGGAACGCGGCCGTAGGCCCCAACTTGCCTTTTCCTGGCTTCCCAGAGGGATCATTGGTGCATTTACATGTTGAATTCCAGAAACCAGCCACTCCAGCTAAGACACACATAGAGAGTGGACCTTGGCAATGGCCATGGCTTTGGCAAAACTCTGACCATGCCAAGCTCCTTCTCCCCTTGTAGATATAAGCCCAGACTGTGCCGAGGCCTCGATGCCCACCTGCCGACTGGAGGCCACACCCAGGCTGCAGGGAGATGGAGGGGGAGGCTAAGAGAGGGTGAGCAGGGAATTGAAACCCATGGGGTAAAATAATTTATTTTATTCACTTCATTTTTTTCATAAAGGACCAAAGGCCGCTGTGGGCGATGATTATCCCCGATCACAGCCCTCGACCGGAGCGCACTTCCCCGCATCTGGAGCCATCTGCATCTGTCTCCTTTGCAGTCTGCCGGTAATTGGGTCTGAAATCACACGCGTCCTACTCAGCTACATTTGCGTTTCCTTCTTGCGCTGTTTTTATATCCAGAGCTGTTGAAACCACTCCTAGGATGAATTTCTAAACTTAGACCATCTCATCCTCAAATGGCAAGAAAGAAAGTGTGATGTGTCCGTGAATCTGCTGAATGGGCCGAGGGGTGTTTTTAAAAGATGATAGTTTGGGGAAGAAGCGGGCACTGCAGAAACCTGTGGACTGGGGCGCTAAAACCTACGAGCTTCCCAGGAAGCCGCCTTTTGGGAGCCCGAACTATCCCAGAACCTTTTCCTAGCAGCAGATCACAATTACGGTCTGTTCTGTGAGTCCGCTCCCACCCAGCGATGAACGGACACTTCTGCTCTCCAGCAGCAAGAGTAGGAAACCCCGCCCTCCCTGCAACATAAAGGCCACGCATTTGAGATCCTCTCAGTGGACTTTTTCAAAAAATAACATCTTTCATTTATGCTTGAGCAGGGAGAAGAGTCATTAAAAAGAAGAGATTTTAAAAATCCCTGTCCAATGCTTTTGGCCAGCCAGCCGCTCAGGACAAAGGCTGCCTGGTTTTGGGACCTCATTATCCGGAGGCCAAGGCGCGGCTGCGGGTGATGGGGATGCCGACTCCGCAGCGAGCACAGTCCGCCTCATTGTTGGTGAATTTCCTGCTCTTGGCACTTTCTTTGGCAGCCTCATGGCCAGCACCTGTGCACTCAGACCTGGGGCCCGGGACGTCCACACAGATGTCACGGCGCTTTTGTTGATTTCCTATTAGTGGCACTTAATAGGCAGGCGCTGGGGACAGCTTGGCTCGGCTCCGGGGAGGGGACGCAAACATCGCTCCCTTGGTGGGCGAAGGGTCAAACCGTTTCTAAAGCTCAGCCAGATAATTGCTGGTGATTAGCAATTTTAATTAGCAGGTGCGAGGGGTCGGGACCCCCCTCCCTGTAATTGGGCAGGTTGTTAACATCCATGGAGTTGTGACCAGGGAGGACATTTTACTAATACTCTCTAGGTCTTTTAAAGTTAATTAAATTAAAGCAGCTAAAACCACCAGAGACGGCCTGAGATCTGATGAGCCAGATAGAAAAAGTTTTCAGTAAAACTTCTCTCACTGGAAAAAAAAAAAAAAAGAAAAAAATCCCCAAAAAACAAACTTCGAACGCAGTCATGAAGCTTTTGTGAACACCGCGTGCCCCTGCGTGTGCCCTTCTGTGGCTGCGGAAGGCTGGGACCGTGAAGGTTTTTTCTCTGCTGGGTGCCTCGTGTTGGGACTCAGCCTGTTGGAGGTCCAGCTCTTCTGTTCTATGCACTGACTCTTTGGGGCTTCGTTCTGTCACAATGAGCAGAAAACCAGTGTCTCCTTGGTGTAGCCTTGGAAGGGGCTGGACACCCACTCGTGGCCACAGAGCACAGCTTCTGGGCGACGCTCCAACTCTGCCTCTCCAACTCCTCACCGATACAGGCATGTGTTTGAAATTGATCAATGTTCCTCCAGTTCCTTTCACAGAGGCCAGGAAGCCGGTGAATACACTTCACAGTCTCAGAGTAAGTGCAAGAAGAGGGCGTGGCCGGAGTTTCCTGGAGTCCCAGGGCCCAGGATGGTGCCTACAGCCCACACCTCTCTAGCCTTGCGGGAGGCTGCATGCAGCCTGGGCCGACTTAAGGCAGGTGAGAACTGACGCGGTCACACTGCCACATTGAGTGTGACGACAGGGAATAGCTTAGCTAACACACTCAGCAGGTGGGATGCAAGCAGCCAGGAACACACGCCTCGTGTCAGACTCAGAGGAGGGGCATGGGGAGAAGAGGAGGCATCCACAGGCAGCGAGTTCAGAGTAAGAGCAGTGGCGATGACAGGCGATGACAGAGCCTCGTCCTCGGTCCCTGAGGTCCCAGGGCTGTGCCTGGCTCGGCAGGTTCTGTCTGGAGATGCAGAAGGCGGGGGTGTGAGAGCCTTGCCCATAACCTTTGGTTTCTTGGCCCTGTTGTTAGAAGCTTTAATTAAAAGTCTTTTCTTTCCACGGCACATTTCTAACGCTCTTTGCCCACAATACGGACACTTGCTTTAAGTGCCAATAGGAATAATTCGTTCATGAAGGGGCAACCGAGTGCTCTATTCCGAGTTCCCACAGAGGGTTCTGTGCGTTTCCAGAAAGAGCAGATGGGAGCTCTGGTGTGTGTTTGAAGGAGCTTCGAGGAGGGTGGCCCCGTGGGGTGGAGGGTTGGAGCCTCATGGCATGTGGACAGTGACCCAAGGAAGCTTCCTGCCGAGGGGCGTCATTCACATGGAGCCAAGTGTGACTGAGGGTGAGCCAGCAGTGGGAGGCTACATCCTGGGGGGCAGCAGGCAGAGAGTGAGGTCCTCCGCCATGCGTGAGGCTGAGGAGGGCTGGAGGATGTGCTGTCGGGAGGCCGCTCAGGTAAGTATGCAAACATGGGGCATCTTACATGCATCCCTGACCACTTTCCTTTGTGATTTAAAAAACAGGTTTTGGCCCGTTCTGCACCAGAACTCAGGTGCAGTGGCTCATGCCTATAATCTCAGCACTTTGGGAGGCTGAGGTGGGCAGATCACCTGTGGCCAGGAGTTTGAGACCAGCCTGGCCAACATGACGAAACCCCATCTCTACTAAAAATACAAAAATTAGCTGGGCATGGTGGCGATACTTGTAATCCCAGCTACTCAAGAGGCTGAGGCAGGAGAATCACTCGAACCTGGGAAGCAGAGGCTACAGTGGGCTGAGATAGTGCCACTGCACTCCAGCCTGGAAACAGAGCGAGACTGTCTCCAAAAAAAAAAAAAAAAAAAACCAACAAAAATAAAACATTTATTGTATACATGTTTATAATAGTACCTTCTCCCCACACCTGATCCACCTGTAGCTGTTTCTGGTGCCTCCCATACCTCTGGGGAGCACTGGCCACCGTGCCCTGGGTGGCTGTGTATGGGGCCCTGCCCCTGGCCGCTCATCCCCTGACGGTCTCCTGAGTGGGAGCGTGTAGCTGGGGCAGTGTGCCCAGGAGACTCTGAGCCCCAGCAGGACAAAGTGAGCTCTGCCTTCAGCCTTTGGCCTTAAGACTCTGTGCCTGAGAGCGGGAGCAGGACCCTCTGCACCCAGGGTAGCTGAGGGCAGCTCCTGGGGTTCATCATCTTTGTTGAGTGACTACAGGCAAGTCCAAAGAGAATATTCCTTCCTTCTTGTTATGCTTTCACCCCATAATCTTTAAAACCAGTCTGCGAAAACATCAAAACACCTGGCTGAGAACTCAGGACTCGGGAGCTCCCGCCAGGCTGTTTGGTGGAGGCTGCAGGCAGCGGATGGTATATCCACTTGGAGGAGGCAGCAAATCAGATGTGCAGGGTGGTCACCATCCTAGTTTTCTGGGAAGGTCGTGCTCCTGTGTGGAGCAGGGCAGACGCAAGGAGCCAGGGGCTGGTGTAGGGCTGGTCGCTGATGCCCTTAGTTAATGGGGTCCTGAAGTAGAGTAAGTCCCAGCAGCAGGGCCCAGCCAGGTCCCTCTGAGGTCCCCGGTGAATGGAGGGGAGGCCAGGGGCTGAGAAAGGACTCCATTTACAGATGAAACCACAGAAACTCTGGCTTCTCAATGTGGAGATTTGGCTTGGCAACGCCCTTGCTTAGACAAATCCACAGCAAGGATGGTGAAGAATGCCCATTGGTCAATGGCCTTCCTTTATGTCTTAGCTTTCCCCTTGTGATATGGTTTGGCTTTGTGTCCCCACCCAAATCTCATCTTGACCTATAATCCCCATGTGACCAGGGAGGGCGGCGACTGGATCGTACGGACAGTTCCCCCATGCTGTTCTCATGATAGTTCTCACGAGATCTGATGGTTTTATAAATGTCTGAAAGTTCCTCCTTCACACTTCTCTCTCCTGCCGCCTTGTGAAGAAGGTGCCTGCTTCCCCTTTACCTTCTGCCATGATTGTAAGTTTCCTGAGGCCTCCCCAGCCATGTGGAACTGTGAGTCAATTAAACCTCTTTCCTTTATAAAGTACCCAATCTCAGGTATTTCTTCATAACAGTGTGAAAACGGACTAATACACCTTGGAAATAATCTCATGCTTATAAAAGAGTTGCAAAAATAGCAAAACTAGTATAAAGTGTCTGCCCTACCTTCCACCTGGCTTCCCCAAAGGCTGTGGTTACATAATTCGTTGTGTTAAACTTATAGTCACATAGCAGATGACACTGTTACCAACCGGTCTACAGGCCTTATGTGAACGCTACCAATTTCCCTGTGATTGCCTCTTTTCTGGTCCCAGACCCAGTCTGGGGCCCAGGCTGCTTCTAGCCGCTGTGTCATTGGTCTCTGCCCAGCTAGGGGATTTCCTCCCTGTAGATTCCTCTTCAATTCCCCTCCAGACCGTGGCAGCTCTGGAGAGCTGATTTTATAGGACGCCCCTCAGTCTGGGTTTGTCTGACGTTTCTTCATGAATAAATTAAAATTATGCATTTTTTGGCCAGAATGCCAAGTCCTTCTGGGGCCTCCTGGTGGGCACGTGGCATCCCCCAGCCTCACTCCTAGTGGTGCACCTTTGACTACATGGGTAGGTGGCATCTGCCGGGCATCTCCCCTGTCAGCTTGGGATTTTCCCCTTTGCCATGATTCAGTGTTTTATGAAAAGGTATCTGAGGACTACGAAAATAGCCAGTTTCTCATATTTTTGCCTTCTAATCTCAGCTCCCTCCAGAATGCTGCCTTCTACACTTTTTCCCATGCTGCTTGCCAAATGGTGGCGTTCCTGCTTTTTCTTCCACACTGGGAGTCTCCTGTGAGAAAGGATTATCTCTCCCTGCCCTGTGTATTTATTTGATTACCTATTTGTTGCAGCTTAAGCTCATGGATATTTATTCTATTCTATGGAATATAATTTATTATTATTACTATTATTCTCAGTTTAAAATTTCCAGCCCTGGCCACTGGGTACTCCTTTGGTAAAAGAGCCTTCGTAAAGCCACGTGCCGTGGAAGAGTGCTTTTCTAAATTTTCTTTTTTTGTTTTTCTTTTTCTTTGAGACAGAGTCTCATTCTGATCTTGGCTCACTGCAACCTCCACCTCCCGGGTTCAACTGATTCTCCTGCCTCAGCCTCCCCAGTAGCTGGGATTACTGACGCCACCGTGCCCGGCTAATTTTGTATTTAGAGACGGGGTTTCGCCATATTGGCCAGGCTGGTCTCGAACTCCTGAACTTGTGATCCGCCTGCCTCGGCCTCTGGGATTACAGACGGGAGCCATCGCACCTGTGTGTGAAGGTTTTCTAACCGTCTATCAGATTTTCTAACCTCCGCAAGCCGCAGGAAGAGAGAGGGTGAGTAACTCTCTCAGGGACACGGGGGTGGGTGGGAGGCAGAGGGGAGGGGCTGGCTGTGTGGCTGGCTCCCCGGGGAACACACAGCAGTGGGAGGGCCTGGTGCTGTCTATGGCTGTGGCTGCTGTCTGTACAGTGAACTGGTGAGAACCGTGCAGATGTGGGGGACACGCCCCTGAGCACAGTCAGTGCCGGGCCTGAATCCAGCTTTCTTTTCTTCAGTGTTCTAAGGAAAGGACGCTGAATGCAGTGATGCTATTCAGGGACCTGCAGAGCCAGGCGAGGCTCAGTGCTGCATGCGAGCTTCCAATCAGTCCTCAAAGCCACCTCAGAGCCAGGGCCCAGGCTGCGGGCACGAAGCTTCATATCGGTCTGGCTGCTGTGGAATATGATGGGGGTGATATTGCGTGTGCTTGTGTGTGCTCTGTGTGTGCTTCTGTGCTCTTGCGTGCTCCCATGTGCCCTTCTGTGCTCTTGCGTGCTCTCCTTCGCACTCATGCGTGTGCTCGTGTGTGCTGGTGGCGTGGGCGAGATGCTCTAGGGAGGCCGTTCCCTCGGGGCGGCCGCCTTATCTAACTGCCCTGCCTCCCCAGGCACTGCTGACTCCAGGCCTCCCGGAGATGGAGCGTGGGCACCTGCCCCCTGTGTGCCCGGCTGTGGGTGCCCTGGGCTGAGCAGGAGGCACTGGCCCCACACAGCCCTCACAGGGCAGAGCTGCTGCTCCAAGGGCAGAGGACACGACTTCTCCCTGCCCGCTGCCTGGGGCTACTTTGTCACCCACTTTGCTCTGGCCAAGACCCAACGCCCTGCGCTGTGGTCACTGATGGGTACCAGGTGGATCCCCAGGCACTGTGAGCTGGGCTGAGATTGTTTTCCATGAGCCCGTCGCTGTGGGTGTGGTGCCCACGCTGGGGCTGGCTCTTGTCAGGGAACACTGTGATGACTCACACGCCTAAAAATAGCATCTTGATGTCCCGAAATCATACAACAGAAACATTTCTAACCTCCTCCGAATTCCTCGGGTGACTGGACGTTTGGCTGGGGTCTGCTCCTGAGCACCATCAGAGGCTGTGATGGGTCGCGGGGTCCCTGTTCGGCCTGGCTCGCGGGGAGGTGTGGGGGTGGTGCAGGGAACGGGGCTGGGGTCTGCACGCCTGTGCTGTTTCTCGGCCTGAGAGTCAGCCGTGCATGCTGAAGACGTGGTGGATGGGCAGCTGGGAAAATGCTCTGTGTTTTGGGGTCTGCTCTTCACTCATTGTAGGAGATTCTCTGTGTAGTTTAAGCTGTAGAGAGAGTGATCTCTGGAAGCCAAAATAGACATAAAATTTACATTCAAATGCCGTGTATCTCAGTGCATTCAGAAATGCGCTTAAATACTGTAAAGCACTGCTTTCCCTGTGGATGATTGAGGTTTCTTCTATTTCGTTATAACGTTGTTTCTGGAAAAGAGATCATCAAGATGCGGAGGCCGTGGCTGCGACAGAGGAAGGAAGTGGGGGAGCCACGGCAGGAGGGGAGAGGAGAGAGGAGCCTGCAGGAGGGGGCTGCCTCTCGGTGTTCAGGACCCTTGTGCCCCGGTCACCTGTCTGTGCTCCCATGAAGAGTTGTTACTGTTTTTCGGTTTGCTTCCACCCTGCAGGAATCATGGTCCTTCCGTGTGGCAAGGTCACCAAGCAGCGGCACCCCCCATCCCAGACAACAGCAGGTCACCTTCCCTGGCTGCCGCGTGGCAGGGCGGGCTCAGGGACGGACTCTGCGCTTCCCTCTGATTTTCGTCACTTTTGTGGGTTGAAGTTAGACCCCTACTCTGTTGTTTGAACACAGATCTGGGCCACTTTATTGATATTAGTTACCTGCTGTGCCTCTCGGCACCTCCCGACTTCCTTGCTGTGCTCTGAAAATGCAGGTTTTGTGCACCCGAATTATAATCTTGCTGTGATAATGCGCCTGGATTGATTCAACAAAATGAGTTGTCTATTTTGTTTTCACTTCGACATCTCTAAGAAGGAAAGACTGACAATCGGGAACATAAATATTTTGGACTTCACATCTTGTGGCATGAAGATGATTAAAAAAAGTGTAATAATTACAAGGTAAAATTTTACCGGGAAATGCAGTTCTGTTTGAACTGGAGGATGAACTCACAAAAAGCACTTATTCTAGAGCAGTGTTAAAATGCTTCAATCGCCCAAGCATCTAAAAGGCACAAAATTGATAGCATTCCATTAAATATAAATATGTAGAAACTGCTGCCTGGGTCATGATTGTTTTTAGGCTTTATGAAAAACGTACAAAGGGTTTTATTTCTACAGTGCTTTATCCTAGACATTCTCTTTGGGCTCTAAGGGGTTTCTCTGATTTACCAAGCATGATTATCAATAATGTCGTTGAAGGATTGCGGAATATTCTAACCCCACATTTTTTTTTTATACGAGTGTGATGTTTTCTCGTAGATTCGGGTTCATTTAAATAGATTGGTTTGAGTTGGATTTCAGTGCTTAATTATTATTATTGTACGTAACTGAACATTTCAATATAATGAACCAATTGATCAGGCTTATATTCATATTTGAAGAAAACTGGTATTTTTGAAAACAAATAGGAAGATAATTTTCTTTAGCATTATGACTAATATGACTAAGTTTTCCTAACGGTCCCTATCTCTCTCTATGAGGCCCGTTACTGGTTTGGAAGGTGTTTTAGAATCACAGGTTTTTCTTATTCCCTAGACTGACTGGGGCTAGAAAGGGGGTGGGGACGGTTGGGGGATGATGAGGGGCTGTTCAGTTTCCACACATCCCTCCTGGTGTAAACGAAGCTTCTTCAGCAGGAGGTCCCCGCCCTCCACCTGTGGCTGTCGTAACAAAATGCCACACGCCAGGTGGCATATGACAGCACGAGTTTCTTACCCAGCTCTGGAGGAGCCTGAGACCCTGCCCCTCTGAGCCCCGCAGGGAGGAGCCCTTCCCTGCCTCTTCCAGCTCCTTGCTGCTCCTGGCTCGTAAACCCATCACTTCGGTCTCCGCGCCTGCTGCTGCTGCATGGCTGTCTTCCTCTGTGCGTGTCTGTGTCCATGTTTTCCCGTTTAATAAAGATGTCGGCCATTGAATTAGGGCCCTCCCTACTCAGTGTGACCTCGTCTTAACCAGTTATATCTGCAAAGACCCGGTTTCCACATAAAGTCCCAGGTGCCATATGGGTTAAGACTCGAGCACATCTTTTTGGGGGACACAATTCAACCCATGACAGCAGCCGTGGATCTCAGGAAGATGAGCTGAGCAATGAACACACACCCGGCCCAAGCTCCAGTCACTCACTCTGCAACCGTGGAGAGGCCTCTCCATGCCTCTGGGCCTCAACGTCCTCATCTGTAGAGTGGGGACATCAGGTCAGATCAACCTTCCCAAGGGGTTTTCCGCAGAGCTGGAGCTCTGGGGGATCCAACAGGCATCTTTCAAAATAAAGCCTTGGGCACGAGTGAGCTTGGGAACCGTGTTGGGCAAGGTCACAGGTTTCATGATCTCAAGACTTCTCAGAGAATTCACTCCCCAGTGCCCGCAGGAATCTGCAGGGGCAGGAAGCGGAGGGGTGGGGACGATGGCACACACCGACTCTAAGGCCAGACCACAGCCAGGGTCTTCTGCAGAGAGAATCCCACCCCATAGCTGCAGTGCAGAGTCCACGCGTGTCCAAACTGCTTGCTTTTGTAAATCTGTGTGTGTGTGTATGTGTGTGTGTGTGTGTGCGCGTGCACACATGTGTGTGGCATAGAGAAAGATTTGTGCCTGCTTTCACTTTTCTTTTTTCCTTCAACTTTTAAGTTCCAGGGTACATATGCAGGGTGTCTAGGTTTTTTGCACAGGTAAACGTGTGCCATGGTGGTTTGCTGCACAGACCATCCCGTCACCTAGGTATGAAGCCAGCATCCCTTAGCTATTCTTCCTGATGGTCTCTGTCCCCCCATGCCCCAGCCTCCAGCAGGCCTCAGTGTGGTGTTCCCTCCAGTGTGTCCATGTGTTCTCATCATTCAGCTCTCACTTATAAGTGAGAACATGCAGCATTTGGTTTTCTGTTCCTGCGTTAGTTTGCTGAGGGTAATGGCTTCCAGCTCCATCTATGTTCCTGAAAAGGACATGATCTCGTTCCTTGTTATGGCTGCATAGTGTTCCGTGGTATATATGTACTATATTTTCTTTATCCAGCCTACCATTGATGGGCACTTAGGCTGATTCCATGTCTTTGCTATTGTCAACGTCCAATGCTTTGGAACGAGATTTTAAAGGCTTCCTGGCCCCCCAGGCGTGGAGTGCCACCATGGGGCTGGCTGTTGGTGTGGGCGCCCTACAGGTTCAGTGTCTGTGGTGGATGCTGCCTGCTGCCCACCCCCAGCACAGGGCATGCAGTGGTCACCTTCACAGTGTGCAGTGCTCCCGCCTGAGGAAGCCAGCCCAGCCAATGCAGAGCCAAGGGACCGCTGAAGGCATCGTCACCGCTACACGCTTGGAGCCATCCGTGCCTGCAGCCGCTTCTTTCCTATGCCAGCTTGAACTGGGTTACTTTTGCTTGCAAATGAAGTCCTCTAACTCAGGAGACTGGGACTCTAGGATGCGGTCATCAGGGACCCAGACAAGATTGCAAATATAGGGACAGAGGTAAATGAGGAAGTGAATGACTTCAATAGAAATCCCTCTCTATAAACTGCTACTGCCAGTGAGTCCCTGTGGCCGACACATGTCCCACCCAACGTGGAAATCCCAGCCTCCAGCCCAGGGCACGCGAGACATCCAAACCGCACTCACTCAGCGTCTGTGTCCTGGACTAACAGTCACAGTACATCCATCCCCGTCTACATCCTAACAGGGAAGTCTTCCCCAAGATAAATCCAAGCGTTCTCTCTACGAAGACTTTCAATCAACACCAGATCCATTTTCTGGGTGGATACAATGTGCCCAGCCCACTGGCATCTTCTCTGTGTCTACCTGACCCACAGCTGATGTCCAGGGGACGCCCTACACCCACTCAGGGTCCTCCTCGTCACTGCAGACCGGCGCTGCTGCTTACTGACCGGCCTTCTCACAGCACAGACCTCGGCGGGGGATGCTGACAGCATCTACGGACAGTGGTGTTTGCTTCAGTGACCATTGCTCAAGGAGGAAGGTGGTCCCCAGGCACCGGCAGTGTGGCTGTGCCATCAGTGGACGGAGCATCCATGCCATGGACAGGGGGACTCCTTGTGCTTTTAGACACTTCTGGCTTTTTGACTGCATAGTTTCTACGTAATTGCCTTTTTCTTTGTGTGAGGTGGCACCCCCCCCCCATTGCCTGTTTCTCATTCAAAATAAAGGCAAGTATACTGGAGAAGGGTGGAAGGGGAAAAGAGAAAGGAAGATAATGTCTCCAGCTCCAAAATGTAAACTACTATATTTATCTTTTAAGGAAAGTTCAAGTTCCAAGATCTGTAAACTATGTGGGCTTTTATGATGGTAATTGTCTTGTTTTTCCAGCATGAGTAATCGCATTATTCTTAACTCCACAGTTAAGGGGCGGACAGACACTCATGCCTGCATGCATATATAGAGATGGCGTGGATTTTCTGAAAAAGAAGAAAAAATGCTAAAAGTCATGAATGAAAGGCCTTCTGCTGTCTCTGCATCCTTAAGTGACGATTGATTGAGAAGTCAGCCTCTTGTTTTCTGTGCCCACATCCCTGCAAGCTGAAAGTCAGAAAAACTCTGCAGAGAATCCCATTGAATAAGCTCCTTCCTGGCCATTGCTGGCCTTTTGCTTGAGGGCTGAGCCTGGCTCCCTCTGGGTGCACCATTGGTCTGGGTGATAAAAGGGCCAGGCACCTGGGGACACCGTTCATCCTGGCCAATGGAGGGCTGCAAACATGGTTCATCCTGGAAACATTGTTCGACTTGAGCAGCAGGGCTTCTCTGCATTCACCTGCTGAAAACTGGATTCTTCTCCTGCAGCCAAACACACCGCGTGTTCCATGTGTGCACACCTGTCCGGCATTGCCTTGTCTTGATTGTGAATCCTGCCTCTTGGTTTGTAAGAAAACCAAATTAATTCTCAGGCACAGATCATATCTCACTCCCCTCCCCTCCCCTCTCCTCTCATCCCCTCTCCTATCTTTCCCTTTCCTTTTCTTTCCCCTTTCCTGTCTTTTCCTCTCCTTTCCTTCCGTGTCTTGCTCTGTCTCCCAGGCTGGAGTTCAGTGGCGCGATTTTGACTCACTGCAACCTCTACCTCCCGGATTCAAGTGATTCTTGTGGCTCAGCCTCCTGAGTAGCTGGGACTACAGAAGCCCACCACCACGCCTGGCCAAGCTCAGTGTTTTTGATGAGTTAAGATCTAAAACATAAATCAGTGGTGTTTCTTTGTTTTTTTTGGAGGGACTCAGGTTACTTGGGACAAGAACACATTTGCTGGTCCAGTGGGTAGAAAGGACAGCCATGTGAGGATTTTGACACAAGCACTGATTGTGTGTGTGTGTGCGCACGGGTGTGTGACAGTGTGCAAGTGTGTGCATGAGAGCGCATGCACATGTATGTGTGCGAATGTGCATATGTGTATGCGTGTGTGCAAATGTGTGTGCGTGTGCATATGCATGTGAATGCGTGTGCATGAGTGTGTGTGTGTGTCCGTGTGTATGGGAATTGTGTGCATGAGTGTGTGCATTTGTGCACTGCATGTGTGTACATGTGTGCACGTGTGTGTGTGCATGTGTGTGTGCTGCCTGAGCCTTCGATTGAATGAAAGCAGGCGGGAAGGTGAGTTGAGGCTGGAGGGCCCACATCACCTCCACCCTCTCCAATATGACCTCAGATCTTTACTTTTATTTTGCTACACATTTGTGGGAAAAAAGACCACTTTGGGCCCATGAACATGGAAACACCACAACGTATGTAGAGGAGCCTCCTCAAGACTAGTCTGGACTTTTCAAAGGAATAATGAAATTCCTTTAGATACTTTTTGTTTCTTGAATTTTAATGAAAAGATTGATTTCTAGTCATTATTTATCTATTGTCAAATTTTAACAAACAGCTGTAGTGATAATTGCTGAATTTCTACTCTATGTTTAGAGGAAGCTGTCAACTCACAAACATGGAATTGTGCTATTATTTATGTCTGAGGCATTTTTCTGTAAATATACAGATTTAGTGCTGGTTTTCAATAAATATACAAAGATGCTAATTATCACTAGAACTATTTGTTAACACTCAAAAATACATAAAAATAAATAAAAGAAATGCCATTTTTCCATTAGAAATTCAAAAAATATTTGTCTTGAGGCGGTGCCTTCCATGATGTTCTGGAAGCTGCGCTGTTATTATCTCACGCTCACGTCACCTTTAGTTTTCCAGCCCTGGCTTGCTCACCTCTGCCTCGAGCCCATAGCCGGCTGGCGCTCTCGCTTCCCTGGAGTACTCGGTAAGTTGCTCATGGGCCTTCTTCGAGGCTGCCCACATCGTGGCGGGTTACCGGAGACGGGAGCGGGTGGGAACCCGGTCTTCAGGTGCCCTCGGATCTGAAGTTCCCCAGGCGCCAATGTTGCTGTGGTGTCTGCCTCAGAGCAGCCTTCCCTGCCAAATTCAACTCGCAGGAACTCTGGACTCGGGCTGCACAGGCACACGCCCTGGCAGAAGCTGATGCGGGAGAAGATGTCCAACCACGGAGGGAGGTTGACCGACGGCACCAGCGTCTGAGCTTGGTCCGAAGAGGACGCATGAGCTAAAAAACATTTTTCTACTAGTTTACAAGTTTTTGGTTTTGCCACCATGTTACCAAACCCAGTCAACTGGACGAAGGGTGCTGTGGTGTTATCTGCATGTTTGATGGCTCCATCTTGAAGAAATGGTCCACGCTTACCTGGCTGTATCCTGAAGGAGAGGGCCATGCTTACCTGACTCCATCCTGAGGAAATAGTCCATGCTTACCTGGCTGCGTCCTGAAGGAATGGCCCACGCTTACCTGGGTGCATTCAGAAGGAATGGTACACTCTTGTCTGACTCCATCCTTAAGAAATGTCTCATACTTACCAAGTTGCATCCTGATGGAATGGTTCATACTTACCTGGCTCCATCCTGAAGGAAGGTCCACACCTACCTGGCACTATCCTAAAGGTATGGTCCATGTTTACCTGGCTGCATCCTGAAGGAACGGTCCATGCTTACTTGCTTCCGTGCTGAAAGAATGGTTCCTACTTACCTGGCTGCATCCTGAATAAATGGTCCAGGCTTACCTGGCTCCATCCTGAAGGGATGGTTCATAGTTTCCTGATTGCATCCTGAAAAAATGGTCCCTGCTTACTTGGCTCCATTCTTAAAAAATGGTTCACGCTTACAGGGCTGCATCCTGATGGAATGGCCCATGCTTACCTGGCTGCATCCTGGTGGAATGGCCCGTGCTTACCTGGCTGCATCCTGACAGAATGGGTCATGCTTACCTGGCTGCATCCTGATGGAATGGTTCATGCTTACCTGGCTCCATTCTTTAGGAATGGTCCATACTTACCTGGCTCCATCCTAAGAGAATTGTCTACAGTTACGTAGCTGCATTCTGAAAAAATGGCACATGCTTATCTGACTCCATCCTGAAGAAATGGTTCATGCTTACCTGGCTGTATTCTGATGGCATGGTCCATGCTTACCTGGCTGCATCCTGACAGAATGGTCCACGGTTACCTGGGTCCATCCAGAAGGAATGTTTTGTACTCACCTGGCTGCATCCTGAATGAATAATCCATGCTTACCATGCTGCATTAGGAAGAAATGGTCGACACTTACTTGGGTCCATCCTGAAGAAATAGTCCATGCTTACCTGGCTGCATCCTGAAGAAATGGTACGTAGTTACCTGGCTGTATCCAGAAGCAATGGTTAATGCTTACCTGGCTCCATCCTGAAGGAGTGGTCCACACTTATGAGGCTACACCCTAAAAGAAAGGTCCATACTTATCAGGATTTATCCTGAAGGAATGGTTCATGTTTACCTCACTCCATGGTGAAGTAATGGTTCATGCTTACCTGGCTCCATCATGAAGGAATGGTTCATGCTTACCTGACTGCATCCTGAAATAATGGTCCACACTTACCTGGCAGGATCCTGAAGGAATGGGTCGTGCTTACCTGATTGCATCCTGAAGGAATGGCCCACACCTACCCGGCTACATCCTGAAGGAATTGCCTATGCTTAACTGGCTTATCATGGAGGAATGGTTCATGCTTACCTGGCTGCAACCTGAAGGGTTAGTCTCTGCCTACATGGCTGCATTCGGAAGGAATTGTTCATGCTTGCCTTGCTCCATCCTCAGGAAAGGGTCCATGCTTACCTGGCTCCATCCTGAAAGAATGGTCTGTGCTTATCTGGCTGCATCTTGAAAGAATGGTCCATGCTTACCTGGTTCCATGCTAAAGGAATGGTCCATGCTTACCTGGCTGCATTCTGAAGGAATGCTACGTGCTTACCTGACTCCATTATTAAGAAATGGTTCATGCTTACCTGACTGCATCCTGACAGATCGGTCCACGTTTACCTTGCTGCATCCTGATGAAATGGTTCATGCTTACCTGGCTCCATTCTGAAGGAATGGTTCATGCTTACCTGGTGGCATCCTGGAGGAATGGTTCATGCTTACCTGGTGGCATCCTGAAGGAATGGTTCATGCTTACCTGGTGGCATCCTGAAGGAATAGTACATGCTTACCTGGCTGCATTTTGAAGGAATGGCTGATGCTTACCTGGCTGCATCCTGAAGGAATGGTCCACACTTGGCAGGCTCCACCCTGAAGGAATGGTCCATGCTTACCTAGCTGCAACCTGAAGGAATGGTTCACACTTACCTGGCTCCATCTTGAAGGAGTGGGTCATGCTTACCTGACTGCATCCTGAATGAATGATCCACACATACCTGGCTCCATCTAGGAAGAATGGTCCATGCTTACCTGGTTGGATCCTGAAGAAATGGTTTCTGATTACCTGGCCGCATCCTCAATAAATGAGCTACTCCTACCTGTCTGCTTTCTGAAGGAATGGTCCATACTTGCCTTGCTGCATCCTTAAAGAATGATTTCTGCTTACCTGGCTTTGTCCTGAAAGAATGGTCCACACCTACCTGGCCACATCCTGAAGGAGTGGTCTATGCACACCTGGCTACATCCTGAAAAAACAGGTCATACTTACCTGGCTGCATCCTGAAGGTGTGTATCATAATTACCTGGCTGTATCCTTAAAAACTGCTCCATGCTTTCCTGGCTGCATTGTGAAAGAATAGTCTATGCTTACCTGGCTGCATCCTGAAGGAAATGTTCATGCTTATCTGGCCACATTTGAAAAATATGGTCCATGCTAACCTGGCTTCTTCCTGAAGAAACTGTGCACACTTACCTGGCTGCATCCTGAAGGAATGGTTCATACTTGCTTGCCTGCATCCTGAAAAAATGGTCTCTGCATACCTGGCTGCATTCTGAAGGAATGATCCACACTTACCTGGCTCCATCTTGAAGGAAAGGTCCATGCTTACCTGGCTGCATTCTGAAGGAATGGGATGTGCTTACCTGACTCCATCCTTAAGAAATGATGCATGCTTACCGGGCTACATCCTGACAGAATGGTCCATGCTTAACTGGCTGCATCCTGAAGGAATGGTCCACACGTGGCAGGCTCCATCCTGAATTAATGGACCACGCTTACCTAGTTGCAACCTGAAGGAATGGTTAACACTTACTTGGCTCCATCCTGAGGGAATAGTAGGCACTTACCTGGCTGCATTCTAAAGGAATGGTACTTGCTTACCTGACTCCATCTGAAAGCATGGTTCATGCTTACCAGGCTACATCTTGAAAGAATGGTCCATACTTACCTGACTACAGTCTGAAAAACATGGTTCATGCTAACGTGGCTCCATTCTGAAGGAATTGTGCACACTTATCTGCCTGCATCCTGAAAAAATGGTCCCTGCTTACCTGACTGCATCCTAAGTATTGGTCCACTCTTACCTGGCTCCATCTTGAAGGAGTGGTCCGTGTGGCTACATATGGATGGCATGGTCCATGCTTACCTGGCTGCATCCTGAAGAAATGGTCCACGCTTATCTGGCTGCATCATGGAGGAATTGTTCATGCTTATCTGGCCCCATCCTGAAGGAATTGTCCATATTTACCTGGTTGAATCTTGATGGAATGGTCCATGCTCACCTGGCTGCACCCTGAATGAAAGGTTCATGCTTACCTGGCTGCATCCTGAAGGAATGTTACATACTTAACTGGCTACATCCAAAAGCAATGGCTCATGCTTACCTGGTTCCATCCTGAAGGAATGGTCCATGCTTACGAGGCCACATGCTGAAAGACAGATCCATACTTACCTGCATTTATCCTGAAAGAATGGTTCATGCTTACCTGACTCCATCATGAAGGAATGGCCCATGCTTACTTCGCTCCATGGTGAAGAAATGGTTCAGGCTTACCTGGGTGCATTCTGAAGAAATGGTCCATGTTTACCTGGTTCCATCATGAAGGAATGGTCCATGCTTACCTGGATTCATCCTGAAGGAATGGTTCTTGTTTACCTGGCTGCATCTTGAAGGAATGGTCCATGCTTTCCAGGCTCCATTCTCAAGAAATGGTCCATGCTTACTTGGCTGCATCCTGAAAGAATGGTTCATATTGACCTGTCTGCATCCTGAAGAAATGGTCTATACTGAGCTGGTTCCATCCTGACGGAATGGTCCATACTTACCAGGCTGCATCCTGAAGTAATTCTCCATGCTTACCTGCCTTCATCCTGAAGGAACGGTTCATGCTTACCTGGCTCCAACCTGAAGGAATGGTCTCTGCCTACGTGGCTGCATCTTGAAGGAATGATTCATGCTTACTCAGCTGTATCCTGAAGGTATGTATCATACTTACCTGGCTGTATCCTTGAAAATGGTCCATGCTTTCCTGGCTGCATCTTGAAAGAATGGTCCATGCTTACCTGGCTCCATACCGGAGGAATTGTCCACACTTACCTGCCTGCATCTTGAAGAAATGGTCCATGCTTACCTGGCTGCATCCTGATAGAATGGTCCATGCTTACCTGAGTCCATCCTGAAGAAATTTTCCATGCTCAAATGGCTGCATCCTGAAGAAATGGTCCATGCTTACCTGGCTGCATCCTGATAGAATGGTCCATGCTTACCTGAGTCCATCCTGAAGAAATTTTCCATGCTCAAATGGCTGCATCCTGAAGAAATGGTCCATGCTTACCTGGCTGCATCCTGATAGAATGGTCCATGCTTACCTGAGACCATCCTGAAGAAATTTTCCATGCTCAAATGGCTGCATCCTGAAGAAATGGTCCATGCTTACCTGGCTGCATCCTGATAGAATGGTCCATGCTTACCTGAGTCCATCCTGAAGAAATTTTCCATGCTCAAATGGCTGCATCCTGAAGAAATGGTCCATGCTTACCTGGCTGCATCCTGATAGAATGGTCCATGCTTACTGAGTCATCTGAGAAATTCCATGCTCATGCTGCACTGAAATGGTCCTTACTGCTGCATCCTGAAAATCCTGAATGGCTGCTCCTGAAGAATGGTCCATGCTTACCTGCATCCTGATAGAATGGTCCATGCTTACCATCCTGAAGAAATTTTCCATGCTCAATGGCTGCCGAATGTCCATGTTATGTCATTGAAATGGTCATGCTACTGAGTCATCCTGAAGAAATTTTCCATGCTCAAATGGCTGCATCCTGAAAAAATGGTCCCTGCTTACGTGGCTGCATCCTGAAGAAATGGTCCATGCTTATCTTACTGCATCCTGAAGAAATGGTCCATGCTTAACTGACTCCATTCTGAAGGAATGGTCCACAATTACACAGCACCATCCTGAAAGAATGGCTCCTGCTTACCTAGCTACATCCTGAAGGAATGGTCTATGCTTAGCTGGATTCGTCCTGAGGGAATGGCCTATGCTTACCTGGCTGTATCCTGAAGATATGTACCATACTTACCTGGCTCTATCCTCAAAAAATGGTCCACACTTAAGCTGGCTTCGTCCTGAAGGAATGATTCATGCTTACCTGGCAGCATTCCGAAAATACTGTTAATGCTTATCTAACTCCAACTTAAAGGAATTGTTCACACTTACCTGGCTGTATCCCGAAGGAAAAGTCTGTGCTTACCTGGCTGCTTCATGAAGAAATGGTCCATGCTTACCTGGCTTTATCCTGAAATAATGGTTCATTCTGACCTGGTTGCATTCTGAAGGAATGGTTCATGTGCACCTTGCTCCATCCTGAAGGAATGGTCCATGCTTCCCTGGGTCCATCCTGAAGAAACGGTCCATGCTTACCTGGCTGTATTCTGAAGGAATGGTCCCTGATTAACTGGCTGCATCCTGAGGGAATGATCCACACTTAACTCACTGAATCTTGAAGGAATGGTCAATGCTTACCTGGCTCCATTTTGAAGGAATGATCCACGCGTACATGGCTGCATCCTGAAAGAATGATCCACGCTACTCTGGCGGCATCCTAAAGAAATGGTTCATACTTATATGCCTGCATCCTGAAGGAATGGTCCCTGCCTACCTGGCTGCATCCTGAACAAATGGTCTACACTTACCTGGCTCCATTCTGAGGGAATGGTCCATACTTTTATAGCTGCATCCTGAAGGAATGGTTCATGCTTATCTGTCTGAATCCTGAAGAAATGGTCCAGGGTTACCTGGCTCCATCCTGAAAAATTGGTTTATGTTTACCTGGCTGCATCCAGAAGGAATGGTCCATGCTTACCTGGCTCTATTCTGAAGGAATGTCCTGTGTTTACCTGGCTCCATCCTGAAGCAATGTTCATACTTACCTGGCTGCATCCTGAACAAATGGTTCATGCTTACCTGGTTGCATCCTGAAGGAATGTTCTATGTTTATCTGGCTCCCTCCTGAAATAATGGCTCATATTTACCTGTATGTATTCTAAAGGAATGGCCCACACTTACCTCGCTCCACCCTGAATGAACGGCCTGTGCTTACCTGGCTCCATTTGGAAGGAATGATCCATGCTTACCTGGCTTTATCTTGAAGAAATGGTCCATGCTTACCTTGCTCCATCTGAAGGAATGTTCCATGTTTTCCTGGCTGCATCCTGAAGGATTGATGCATGCTTACCTGGCTGCATCCTGAAGGATTGATCCATGCTTACCTGGCTGCATCCTGAAGGATTGATCCATGCTTACCTGGCTGCATCCTGAAGGAATGGTCCACACTTACCTGGCTGTATCCTGGAAGAATGGTCCTTGGTTACCTGGCTGCATTCTGAGAAAATGGTCCAAGCTTACCTGGCTTTATCCTAAGGGAATGGTCCATGCTTAGCTGGCTCCATCCAGAAGAAATGGTTCATGCTTACCTTGCTCCATTCAGAATAAATGTTCATGCTTACCTGGCTCCATCCTGAAGAAATGATCCACAGTTACTTGGCTGCATCCTGAAGGAATGGTCTGTGCTTACTTGGCTCCATCCTCTCCATCCTGAGGGAATGGTCTGTGCTTACCTGGCTCCATCCTGAAGCAATGGTCCTCGCTTCCCCGGCTTTACACTGAAGGAATGGGCCACAGTTCCCTGGCTGTATCCTGAAGACATGGTTCACATTTATCTGGCTCCATCCTGAAGAAATGATCCATGTTTACCTAGCTGCCTCCTGAAGGAATGTTTCATACTTACCTGGCTGCATCCTGAAGGAATGCTTGCTGCTTACCTGGCTACACTGTGGAGGAATGGTTCCTACTTACCAGCCTCTATCCTGGAGGAATGGTCCATGCGTACCTGGAGGCTTCATCCGGGAAAACAACCTGTTCCATCCTCTGGCCATTTCCATCTTGGATTCCTCTGAGCTAACGACCCAGGTGTTAATTTTTTTTGTTGTTTATAGGATTATGATCATGAAAGACGAGGTTTCTGTTCTCCTGGTACTTAGATTCTAATGAGGGATCACAATCTGTGTTCATTGGGGTTCTTCAGAGAAACAGAAACAATAGGATACTGGTTCTTTGTTTTCTTTCTTTTCTTCTTTTCTTCCTTCTTTCCTATCTATCTATCTATCTATCTATCTATCTATCTATCTATCTATCTGAGAGAGAGCAAGAAAAAAAAAGAGATAAGAGAGATTTTATTATAAGGCATTGGCTCCTCCTGCAGTTATGGAGGCTGACAAGTTCCGTGATCTGCAGGGTGAGTTAGCGAGTGAAGACCTCTGAGAGGTGATGGTGTAGCTCCAGTCCAAAGACCAGCAGGCTGGAGACCCAGGAAGAGATGTTCTGGTTAGAGTCTGAAGGCAGGAGAAAGCTAATGTCCCAGCTTGAAGGCAACTGGGCAGGAAGAGCCAGCATTCCAGGTGGGAGCCATCAGCCAGCAGAGTTCTCCCTTTCTCGGAGGAGGGACGGCCCTTTCATTCTATTCCAGGCTTCTCATGGGTGGATGAGGCCCACCCCCAGTAGGGAGGGCAGTCTGTTTTACTTAGTCTGACAATTAAAATGTTAATCTCATCCAGAAACACCCCACAGACACACCCAGAATGTCTGAACAAATATCTGGGCACCCTGTGTCCTCGTCAAGTTGACACGTAAAATTCACCATCACGTGTCTGCCCCTTGTCACCTTGGCACTGACACATCTCCTTAAAACCACACTTTATCCTCAAATAAGATACCAAGGTCATCATTCCACCTAACGTGATACAGCTAATCCCGCATGCAACTGAAAACACACAATCTCTTCCCCAGAAAAGGAAATAGAGGCTTTGAGTGAGGTTTACTCTTCTGATATTTTGTAACTTAGATTCTATGATGTAAAATTCACAATTCTTGAATACAATGTTATAATCTAAATACATCTTATGTTACATAACAGGATAAGAGAGGGAAGAAAACAAAGATATTTGCTATATAATAAGCACACACATTCGTAACAAAATTAGGAAGAAATTCTCTTGACTACTGCAGGCCTCACCTCGGTAATTAGTCACCTGGAGACAAACATGGAAGATAATTTGAAGTGGTGATAGGAGCTGTGAAGACACACAGCTAGGTCATACTCACTCAGCAGGGCTGGGCCTCACGGTGCCCCACAGGCGTCCCCTCAAAGTCTGGAAGCCGGGCTTTTGCCCACCAACTGCCTTCCATAGGGCCAGTATCTCCTCTGCAGGCCCAACCTCCCAGACTGCTTCAGGTGTGGGCTGTGTTCATTCTTGTGGCTTTAGAAAATGTCCTGAGGAAAAGTAGTGACTACGAGGTGCACACGTGAGGTGGGACTGTGGCAGCATTCATGGCCATCGTCTCAGCTCTGCAGGTGAAATTCGAGGTGGGATGAGATGTGCATGGGGCACAAGAGATTCTTCCACCCTCATCTCCTAGCAACAGCCAGATTCCATTATTCTCCCCATTCTACAGGAGGGGCACAGACAGCTCCGTCACTTGCCAGAGGTCACAAAGATCGCAATTTGTAGAGGAAGCGTTTGACCTCAGGCAGCCAGCGAAGGATATATGTGGAGAACTTGACTAAGTCATTAAAGCATATGAGTTTTCTACTTCATATACTTCAATCATTTGAAAATGTATTAAATAAACATAAAATATCTTAATAATGAAAAATGTGTATTCAGATATTTTCTTTCAATGTGGTCTTGATCGTGATGCACTGATACTTACATTGATCTGTGCTTTTATGTTAAGTATTATTTTCCTTTTCAGTAGAGAATAAACTAACTTCAACTATAAATCAGCAGGGAAAACATGAACTGATATAAGTTCCAATATGTTTTCTCATTGAGAACAAGATGAATACATACACACATATAAAACACATGCACTCTTAAGTAAAAATAGGATTTTTTTTTTGAGGTTTTGCTCTTGTTGCCCAAGCTGGAGTGCAATGTCGTGATCTCGGCTCACTGCAACCTCTGCCTCCAGGGTTCAAGCAATTCTCCTGCCTCAGCTTCCCTAGTAGCTGGGCTTACAGGTGCCTGCCACCATGTCTGGGTAATTTTTATATAAAAATAGGACTTAAAAAAAATCCAAATTTCTGATATTCAGGGACCATGACACAGCAATGTCTCCTGCACTGGACTTTGTGTTTTATTAGTAAAGTTTTTAACCATTTTATGAAAATTATAATTTGGTATAATTATTACATTATAATTTGGATAATATCTGAATGATTCCTCTGATATATCTGAGTTATGATCTGGATTGAAGTAGACTTAACAACAGTCAGTTTCAGTAAATATAGCCAAGTGACCATGGAGTGTTACAAGTTCCAAAATTTCCACCCCGAGAATGATATGGCCACCGACGTGGGATGTGTGGCCTCTGCTTAGGACGGAGGGGGCCGGGTGGGGCACCGCTGAGAGCTCTGAACTGAGAGAGACAGAAACTGGCTACCACTTGTTCTGCCTACTGTCTCGGGCAGTTGACTGAATCTCTCAGGGCCTATTTCCCTGTATTGACAATAATCATCTACCGTGGAGATGAGGATGAGACTTTACCGACTGCAAACCTCTACGGAAATATGGGTTGCTAATATTCACCACCATCAGTGAGCCCATGGCTATGGCCACGGCCTAGAGAGGCTATAACGGTTAACTGTGACTAGACACCGGAGGCTACCCCATGGTTGGAGACTTGCTTACTTTATGACTGGGTTGACTCGTAAATGCCACGTAGACTTGCAAAGAAGTGGAAAAGAGCTGTACCCCCGCTCTGGGGGGTTTATCATCAGATGGAGAGAGACCCGAGGGAGCCTCCTGCCCACTCCACACGAGGTGTTCAATGGAACACGAGGAGCATATGAAACCTGACCAGCTTTGTGTGACTTCTGCATGTGGGGTGGCACGCGTGTGCTTGCTATTCTCTGTTTCTGCTGTGAGCATTTTTATCTTTTGAAATTCTTTCTTCTGAAACTTTCGTGCCTACCAGAACCAGCCTGTTCGGATGCTCCTGGTCTCCACAGCAGCCCCTCCGTCAGACACCGAAGAAGCCGTCAGCTCACAGAAGACTCCTTTTGTTTAATGAGTAATAGCTACTGGCTCACTCCAAGGCCCACCAGAATGACAGACTCTGGTTCAAAGGCCTGATCTGAAGTTGCTGCCATGACACAAGCAATACCCGTGAAGTGCCTGCAGCCCATGCCTCTGAGACCGGCCAGACATGCGGTGGACACGCAGCCTCAGGCACCTGCTCTCTGTCATCACGAGAAAAAGGATCCCTGCACCGGACAAGAAAGGACCTGCAGACACACTCACAATCAAATTCCTGATTTCACAATGACGGAGGGAGCCCTGTGCATACTAGAAGCAGCGGGGAGCGGTTTCTAGACTTTTGGTGCCCAAGAGACTTCCGTGCATGGAAAATGTTGACTTCTAGCTTCCAACTGCAGCTAACACTCCGTCGGGAAATGGGACCCGGCTGTACGAGTTAATTCAAACGGAGCCACTTCCCATTAGGGTGAGCCGCTTTTCATCATCATGCTTACAACGATCAGATCTTTTGTGTAAATCGGAGCTTTTCTAAATGTAGTGTCTTTCCCAGATAGAGTGCAGTCTTTCTGGTCGCAGGATTGCATTTGCGTCCTTATTTTCCTGCCATGAGGATGTGCTGATCTGCTCCAGGCGTGTTTTAAAGGATGCACCCGGGACCATTCCATCATTACAGGGAGCAGAGTGGGGTTATCTAGAGGCCTCATCTGCTAGGAGACGAGGGATTTGTTGGGGGCAACAGGAGGCTGTGCAGTGTCCACACCAACTCCTTTTCAGGAACCGTCCAGAAGCTCAGGGATGTGAAACCTAAACTCCGTCCTCTAAGTCTTCTTGCAGCTAATGTCCCTGAGGTGGTTTAGGTGACCCTAACCTGGGGTCCTGAGGAGGCTCTGACTTTGAAATCCAATTAAGCAAGAAGGAAGGTGGGGGATGAGGTGCCTATTCTGCTCATGTCATGAGTATTATTTTCACTGTTGTTATCTGATATTGATTAGCATATATTTTTCATATATATGTATATATACATCTGTGTGTATGTGTATGCCATATATGTATTTGTAGAAATACTATGAGGCCTTATATAATGTTATCTTCCTCCAGTGATAATTTTCTCTTCCTTTTTCCAGGCACCTAATAGAGTTAGCAATCTGGGATTATCTTATTTTCTGGGCTATCCAGATGACTTAAAACCTCGCTGAAGTTCCCATGAGAGGTGTTTAAACAACCCAAAGAAGCACGTAAGAGAGGAATAACAACAACAAAACCCAGAAAGAATGGATAGGAAACAAACGCGGTGGTTCCCCTTACCCGTGGCGAAGACGTTCCAAGACCCCCAGTGGATAGTACCAAGCCCTAGATATACAATATTTCTTTCTGTACACACACACCTACAATGAAGCTTAATCTGTAAATTGGGCACAGTAAGAAATTACCAACAATAACTGATAATAAAATAGAACAAATAACAATATACTATAATAAAAGTGATGTGTGATTTCTCTCTCTCTCTCAAAATATCTTATTGTACTGTACACACCTATTTTCAGATCGTGGTTGACTGCAGGGAACTGAAACCACAGAAATCAATACTTCCAATAAGAGGGAACTACTGTTCTCAAATGGTAGAGTCAAATGTAACCATATTCCACCAAATGTTATATCGAATTACATCAACTCACATCATGTTAAACATTGCAATGAAGAGAAGAGATTCTCCAATGAATACAAATGCAATACCCCACTCTATGCTTCTTACAAGAAATCTACTTTAAATATAAAGTCACAGATAGGTTGACGTAAATAGATTCAAGAAAAGATATACCACACAAGTATAAAGCATAACAGGCTCAAACGGGTATATTTATATCAGAAAAATAGATATTAAGACAAAAACATTACCAGAGATAAAGAACACTTTATAACAAAAGGTTCATTTAGTCAGCAAACACAATAATTATAAATGTGTGGTATCTAATAATAGAGCTTCTAAATACATGAAGAAAAATGGATAGAAATACAGGAGAAATGGAAAATTCCACAGAGCTGGATACTTTAAACCTCGTATCAGCAATTTATAGAAGAACTAGACAAAAGATCAGAAAAAAAGAATAACTAAAAAACACTATTGGCCAGGTGTGGTGGCTCACACCTGTAATCCCAGCACTTTGGGAGGCTGAGGCACCTGGATTACCTGAGTTTGAGACCAGCCTGGCCAACATGGTGAAACCTCGCCCCTACGAAAAATGCAAAAATTAGCCGGGCGTGGTGGTGCATGCCTGTAATCCCAGCTACTTGGGTGGCTGAGGCAGGAGAATCATTTGAACCTGAGAGGCGGAGGTTGCAGTGAGCCGAGATCATGCCATTGCACTCCACCCTTGGCAACAAGAAAGAAACTCTGTCTCGAAACAAAACAAAACAACCGAAAAACCCATTGACCTTGAGTTTACTGATATTTGTAGAGCACTACAACCCACGGCAGCAGAATACAAATTCTTTTCACTTGTGTGTGTTGCTCCAGCAGGTGCCAGATTCTGGAGCCTAAAACAAGTCTCATCAGATTTAAGAAGATTGATGTCACATAGAGTATGCTCTCGACTGTAACAAAGTTAAAGAGCTTCAGCATAACTATAACTGGAATGTTCCCAGATACGTGGAAATTAAACAACACATTTGTAAATAATCCATGAGTAAAACAGAAAATCAGAAAATATTTTTAGCTAAATAATAAAACTACATGTCAATATTTATGGGATGCAGCGAAAATAGTAACTTGAGGGAAATTTGTAGATTTAAATTCATATTTTAGAAAAAACATCTACATCCAGTAATCTGAGTTACCACCTTATTAGTAAGAGAAAAGAAAACTAAGCCAAAAGTAAGAAGAAAAAATAAATAAAAAGAGGAGTAGAAATTATTAAAATCAAAACTAAAATAAATATCAATGAAACAAAAACTGGTTATGTAAGAATTTATGAACCTTCAGTTAGACTGGTCAATGGAGTGGGTAAAAACAGAAGAAACTCAAATTACCAATAACAGGAACAAAAGGAAAAGATCTCTATAGATCAGACAGTTAAAAGGCAATAAGCGAATATTATGAGCAACTCTATGCCAATAAATTTTGTAATCTAGATGAAATGAAAACACTTTTCAAAGACACAAATGACCAAAAGTGAAATTGGTAAATTGAATACTTACCTATCTCTGTGTCAATTATAAATTTGGATTTGTAGTAAGTTATCTCCCCATAGGACCTCTGGTACCAGCCAAGATGGAATAAGCTGCTACAATTTCTTTTTCTCACTGATAACAACTAAAAACTCTAGACAAAACACTGAAATCAACTGCTTGAAGACTGTGAAAATTAACCATGGCAGACACATTGGGAAACAGAGTGCAACATGACGCATACCCTGAAATAGCAGAGCGTTTCTCCATTTTTTTCCCCTCTTTTATTGTCACACATGAGGGTGGCCAGAGTGTGAAGCAGCATATTGGTACAAGCAACAAGAACTTTGAGAGCAAAACCTGTATTTCTGGCTGGATGCCTGTGAGAAGGGGCCCCTGGAAGCTGGAGTACAAGGGGAATTCACTCTGCAAAAATCCCTCTCT